GAAATTATCACTAAAGATAGTATTCCTGCACACAGTGCACTCGCTCATTACACCACTCCAGCCTGTGAACACGATGAAATGGAGTAAGAGTTAGGTATAAAAATGGTCGGTAGGAATAACGCCCAAAAGATTTTATTTATCGATATATGATCAAAGAGTATCATTCTTTGTCCTGAAGTTTCCATCCAATTATTTCCCACAGCTCATGTTGTGGTCTACTTGGTTCGTAATTTCCTGGCACCCTTAAACCATTAATCTGACCATTTTTAAATTCACTTAACTGACGATAACTTTGAACTTGTCGAACTCTAGGCATTGTGGATAAAGTTTATGACAGAACTGACAAAAATATATTAATTTTTATGAAGATTCGTCCAAATATCAATAGCCTTGAATCAATACCTGGTGTTTAAAAGCCTTTTGCATATTTACTTATGAGATATTGATTCTAGGCTATTGGAATTTACTTTTTTTACATAATAATCGCAGCAAAAACCAATTTAAAAGTAATATAATAAGTATATCTTTATTTAGCTATTCATTGCAAATTTTAGCATCTGAATTACTTAATACTAATTAAATTCTATTTTATAATTTTAAAACAAAACTTTTTACTACATAATTACTTAACATTTTCTTATAACTATTTAGATTTTGATTTTGGAACAGGTAAGTTATTATACAACTTTAATACTTTTGATAAGACAGACTTCTCTGTAATACCCCTATTAAAAGTATATATAAAAAATTAGTTACATTGTCTAGTAGTTATGTATGTCATTAACATACTTCATTTCATTAACTAGATATGATGGTAACATTTTGTTTTTTATTTTATAAATTATAATTAGTGTCCCATAAACATTTCTCTGGTTTATATTTATTAAATTTAATACATCTAACATCATTCTAATGGGTGTATACCTATTATATTTAAGAATAATTCTCATAGCTCTATTTTGCATTTTTTGTAGCTGCTGAATTTGATTTTGGTTCAAGTTGAACAATATTGAGAAACAAAAATCAATATATCGTTCAAAAATTGCTTTATATATTAATAACTTAGTAAACATAGAAAGTGAGTTTCCTATTCTATATAAAAACGACACTTTTCTTGACATTTTGCTCATGATATAGTCTGCATGTTTTTTTAGATTTAAGTTCTCGTCAATTGTTACATTTAAGTATTTCATTTCATTAACTCTGTCTAAGTTAATGTCATTAATTTTAACTCTATGATTATCACCAATATTATTTAACTTATGCCTATTTGCTATTATCATATATTTACATTTATTAATATTTATACAGAGATTAATATTTATACAGCCACTCGAAAATTACCAATAGTTCACGATTAATTGCATGTATCAAAACCACAACGTCCTTTTCTGTAATATATAACATTGTGTCATTTGCAAACATTTTAAGTTAGCACTTATCTACATATTTAAAAATTTTATTTATATATAAAATAAACTAGAGAGGTCCTTTACCTTGTGGTACTTCATATTTTGTAACTATTGCTGGTGAGGTACCATTTCTGTACTTAACTTTTTTGTGTTCTGTGTGATAAGTAACTATTAAATCACTTCAAAGCAGTGTCACATATACTTATTTTCTCTAACTTTTCAATAATAAACAATGATCTACAATTTCAAAAGCTCTACGAAAATCTAAGAATTCTACCACTATGTCATCACATTGTCAACAGCTTTAAGCCGTGTATCACATATATTTAAAATCACCATTTCACACGAATGATTTTTACCAAAACCAGATTGATTAGGCACTATGATAGAGTTTTTATCACAATAATTTATAAGTTGTTCCTGTACCACAATTTCTGACGCTTTTTCATACTACTTCCATATGAAAAAGCGTGTATTTATTGGTAATATTCTTGACCCATAATCGTATTAGAAACTTTTTTCACAGATACCTACAATAACTGACAACTTCTATTCTGTGGGAGAATCCACTTTCTATTGAATTATTTATAACATCAACAAAACGACTGCCAATAACTAAAAAAGCGTCTTTTAATATAATAGAAAAGTTTTTAGACCGACTTATTAATTGTTGGAAAATTTTTTTGGGTAAGGGTCCTTATTTTGAGAAAAACTACTTTTTTAACTTGCCGACGTTTCGGTAATTTTTATTGCCCTGAAGATGGTAATAAAAATTACCGAAACGTCGGCAAGTTAAAAAAGTAGTTTTTCTCAAAATAAGGACCCTTACCCAAAAAAAATTTTCCAACAGTCTTTTAATATTTTTGTCGATATATCATCTTTTACACTAGCTGTATTGTTTAATAATTTTAAAAAAAATTTTAAGTGTGGTAAGTCTATTTGTTTTTGAATTTAGGGAAAAATGTATGTTTTTCTACTTTAGCCAGTATGTCATTTTCATTTTATATTTATTTATATTAGTTACTATTTCCTTAATACTCTCTAAAAAATATTTGTTAAATTCAATGCATATGATATGGCTCTTGAGACGTTTCTCAATTATTAAATTTTACTCTATTTTCAGATAGTTTTCAATTATTCGGCAACATAATTTTTAGTTTCTTCCACATTTCTCTCGAGTTAATCTTAATCTCCTCAATTGCCATGTTAAAATGTTAAAGTACTTTTCTTTTTCGGTTATAATCATCGTTATTATTTCACTTCTTATATCTTTAATTGAATTACAGTCTTCTTGACATTATGTGACGACAGCTATCTTATATTTAGTATCCTTTATTTTCATTTAATTTATTATATCACTGTTGACCCATCTGTTGTTAACATATTTCTCTGAAATATTGATTTCTATTTTTGGACACAAACTATTTAGTACATTTTTTACAGTTGTTGCAAATAAATTGGCTGCGACATTGACATCTCATACGTTGTTATTCCAATTGTGGTCTAGTAAATTACAGAGAAAATTATTTATTTAATAATTTTTTAACGATCTCCTGCTAATTTTTATTATTTTGTTACCTTCTTCTTCACAATTAATATTAACTGTTAGTATACAATGATCGCTAATTTTTAGGAGTTAGTTTTTATTGATGCTAAATATTTTCGTCGTTTGTTATTGTACAGGGTGGGGCAATAGTTTGTCCGACTTCAATATGTCGAGTTCTTTGATAGCTAAAAACTTGATTTCAAAACACAAATAAACTAGGCAAAAAAGTCTATAACCGGAAATTATTTTCTAATATACAGGGTGAGCCAAGTCGCTTCTACAGGGTCAACTAATATGTTTTTAATGGAATGCCATGTAATCAGAACATTTTTTGAAACCTCTTCATGGCCTCCTTCCACTCCTTTATTATTATTGACTGTCTCCCAATCACTTAGATGTAATGATTTTTTTCTTGAAATTATGTCACTTACACTTCTTGTATATTAAAAAAAATCACTAAAGTAAAAATTATCGATTTTGAGAAAAAAATATATTAGTACCAGTTATGAGACATCTATGTGATGACGCTCGGTCATTTTCGCTTCCTAAAAATATACATGGTGGCCAAAAATAATTTTTAAATTTACAACTATTTCAACTGAATTTCCCTGTATATTTTTGGACGATGTGATGTAGAATTGAAAAACGAAAATTTTTTATATGTACATCCCTATGGCTATTTGTAACCATTTTTAATTTACTGAACAATAACTGCAAAATGCAGTAATAAAAATTAAAATATTTTTTTGAAATCACCCATGTAATTTATATTCTTATCCAGATAATTTTCAAAAGCCTCTAGAAATAAATTATCATTTACCCGAGGTGGGTTATATATAGTACTTAACGTATAGTTTTCTTTATATCATCGAACTAAATAAAACTTCACGTTTTAAGATTTTCACAAAAAATCATTAAAATCATTTAAAAAATGGATTTTCATCAAGTAAAGGTCGAATCAATCAACTATTTTCTTTATATATTCTAATTTCCAGTGATGTTAGCCATAAATAGTTTTCCAAATTTTTCTTACCTCTCATTTGATATTTGTAGGCTTTCTTAATACAGGCTAATACTCCCCATGTTCGTCTATTTACCGTAACGCAGCTTTCAAATTTGTAGCCATCAATGAGCAATTCTTTTTCTTTGAAATTTTAATCATTTCTATGTTACTTTGAAGTACCTTCTTTATACAAATTTCAAATAAGTTGCTTAACTAAGAACTAGATGTAGCGGTTTTTATTCAAATCAGTATATATTACTATAGCAAATCATTTTAAAGGCTTTGCTTTCTCTGACATGACTGATATATCGAAATATAAAAGTTTTTGCAATAATCGCAGTTCGTGTCTTATTTAGTACATACCTTAAAAATAAAATATAATACATAAAATTTATATGAAAAAAATCACATAGACGCGGCAGATTAAATAAATTACCATTTGAACTTGTGCAAACACGCACCAGTGCTTAAAACAAAGTTTGAGTTTTATGACCGACTTTAAATCGAATAAAGCAGAACATGCTAAATCAAATAAATCTGAATTTTCTGTAGTTGTAAGGCCACGATTTTAATGGTCTTGTTTATTCGCCATGTTATAACAAAAATATGATATTTGCTTATTGCATAAAGTTTATTGAACTAGATATTACACTATACAGGAGAGAAAACATGATAGCTTTTATTTAAATCTCATAAATGATAAATGATTCATTGTTTCTAAGTGTATTTCACCCAAAAACTTTGAACTATCTAAGGAACTTATTCGAATCTAACGATATTAGTCAGAAGGTATTACAGGATTACATCAAACTCACAACACCTTGCAAGAAATAAAATTGCTTTCGGTTCAATAACGATTTTTTCGAGGAACATTAAGAAGCAGCAATACCTAACTCTTTGTCATCTTTCATTACCGGTCTGTTCGTGAATAGATTTGAAACAGAACGAAAATAAGGGTTCAAGTATTTCCTAGGGTTTAACTAATGCATGCATCAGTAAATTAAATGAAAGTACCCCACCTTCTAAAAGAAAATATGTGGCTTCGAGGTCGAGTGGCAAGGACATTTGCCTCTCACCCTGGAATCCCGGGTTCGATCCCCGGTCGAGAAGCTAGGATTTTTTTCTAAACCAGAAATTAAATCCTAGCACACTCGGATATTGGGTGTGTGTCCATTGTCTCTAAATGTGTAGCCCGCTCAGACACAAGGTACCATATGATACAGGGGATTGTATTACGTATGGTGTTTAATGTAATGTAAAAAAGATAACAAAACCTTATAACGAGGCGTTTTCCTGCCCTATTATTTAACTTAATAAGTCAAAAATTATTTAAGGGAATAAAACAAAATCTATAAATGAATACATATTTTAAATCAATACAAATTCGGACTCTTTCTCTCCGGGCGGGGAAGCGAGTGATTAACTAGAACAAGGTTTAAATAAATCTTAAAACTAAACAAATGCATAAACAGTTGGCCTTAGCCAATTTGATCATTAATTATTATCGTCCAATACACTTGAGGAATTTTGTTAGGTGCCACCTTTTTTTATGTGTTTTTACCAAAGTTCTGGCTAGATCAAAAATCAATGTTACTGTTAAAAAAAGGAAAAACGTGTAATGACTTCAAACAGTCTCTCATTATGTTGATTATTAATGTCCACGGAAAAAAGTCAAATCAACTTTATTCGAAACGAAATTTGCAAATCTTTAAGTTAAGTCATTCTTTACACCTTTGCGGTACCTCCAACAGACACTGGTGAAAGCTGTCGTTACTAGGTTACTTTATAAGTTAATGAAGAGGACCTTAACAGCGGGTGGAGCACAGCTAGCACATCTTTTAATTTCTTGCTCTCAAGATTTCAGAAAACTTTAAGGCAACAGGTCATTTCAAACGCAGAAAGTGCAAGGCAACGTATCTCCAGCAGGACACGGCAACATAACAAAACTAACATCCTCTCTTGATTGAGGCTTAGCATTGTCTCCTTAACGTAACATAAATATCAAGACAACACACAACACAAAGGTCCATACTTGACCGTGGCCACCCAGCGTCTGTTTTTTGCGCTCAAAACATCGTCTCACCAACGCGCGTACGTCGGGCACAATACAATGGTCCAGTTTCGCCACGCTACAGAGTTAATACAACAATGCAAACAAAATTATTCTAATCAAATCTAGAATTTAAGGTATATCTCGAATCATTTTATTTCGTTTACAACGAAAGTGATCCAAATTATTTATTTCCGAAAATGGACCTAAAACCTGTGTCAAAACTGAACTACTATCAAGGATATTATGTATAACTTTTATGGATTTTTCTACAAAATTCAAATTCTTTAATTTGTAGAAATTTGATAGTTATTGAAAAGAACGTCCCAATTAGCTCTTAAGGCATACATCAAATCTCTAGGTTTGTGGGAGATTGAATCAGAATTAGATCTATTTCTTATTTATATTTGTTGAGTGCCACCATTATTATTAGTTTAAACATATTAATGAAAATAATTAGACAATATTTAACAAAACCGTGGAGTACATTCTATGGTAAAACTGGAAAAGCGATGGGGTTAGGGTTAAACTGGAGATACTACTACTACTTCTTATCTTATTCGTAAAGTTTCACCTAAATTTCAATATACTGTAGATAGGCTGCATAAGAGTTACTGATACTTATTTTGAGTCACGTTAATTTCTGCGTTTACCACATACTGACTTGAAAATAAAACAAGGCCTTAGCAGCAATAAATAACATATATTGGTTTTCAGTATTGTAGTAACAGTTTATCACCTGGTATTTACAGTCATAAAATAAACAGTGTGTCTATACGGGTAGAAATATATCTAAACCATTAATACAACAGGATGGAATGTTTCATAATAATTAATTATTAACATTCAAATACAAGTAAAATTTACCTAAAAAACAGATAGTACAGAACACCGCACTAGCATTTCAAAACTAGTCATTAAAAGGAAAAAAAGTAACTATTGTTGATTAGGTGTGCAAAACACCGCTGCAAAAGTAAAAAACTCCAAGAGAAAATAGAAAAAATACTGCCTTGAAATTATTAAAAATAGGACAGTCCGTATTTGATATCATAGTACTTTATTGCATGGTTCTAGTATAATTTCTCAAGGACAACCACAAGGGTCTGTTCTCAGTTCACTTTTATTTAATATCTCCACATCAGACTTGCATTGCATGTTCGATAAGTGCATTAAAAGTGTTCAATATGACGACGATAATTTGTTTATACATTTATTTATTTATTTATTTTATTTTTACATACACTACTCAACGGGTAAACCAAATTAAAGAGCAGGACAAACACAAGAAAAAAAATCATTAAAAACTAAAATTTTATACTTAAAAAAAATTAACAATATTACAATTAATTATTAAGAATTAAAAAAAGAAACAGAGATTCAATTACAGCATTTTTTTAGTGGAATCTATTGTGCAGTGAAATACATAAAATTTTTCACAGTTTTTGTTATAGTTGTTACATATTGTGAATAGTGGGGAAAATTTAAGAATGTTACAATGTGGAATTGAGAGATAAAAAGTTTGCCATCTTAGGAAATTTTAATTTGGAACATGAAAATTTAATTTACATAAAAGTTCTTGTCAGTCAATTTGATTGTGTATCATTTTATATAGGAATAACTGTGAATGATAATCGCGCCTGTTCTCAAGAGTAGTCATAGAGAATCTGTTGAAGAGCTCTAGCTGTGGAAAACCAACAATCGGATATACTCCATCAGATTTAAACCATAATAATTTTATAAATCGTCTTTATACACTTTCTAGATCGTTAATGTGATTTCTATAATAAAGGTTCCAGACTAAAGATGCATATTCCAGTTTAGACCTGACAATTGCAAAATATAAAATTTTTAAAGTTCTTTGTCAAAAATTGCTCCAAGGTCCACAAGAGTTGGAAGTCTTAGAAGGTCTAACTGGTCTACTCTATAATCAAACAGAACAGTATTAATTTTAGTTGTATAAGTCATGACGTTACATTTAGACACATTTAAGTTTAGCTTATTTTGAACACACCAATTAGATATATTTGAGAGATTATTTTGCAGAAAGGCGCAGTCATCTAAGGAAGAAATTATTTTAAAGATTTTAAGATCGTCAGCATGGAGCAAACAACAAACGTCTGTAACATTTACAATATCATTAATAAATATGTTAAACAACAGGGCTTCGAGAATGGACCCTTGAGGAACACTAGATATTGCAGTATATTCTATCGACCGGAATCCATTATAGGCCACATATTGCTTCCTATTCGAAAGATAGGAGTAAAAGAATGGTAATAAAACAGGTGAGAAACCTATATTTGACAATTTATTTAGCAGTATGATCAAATCAGTTGAGAGCCTTTGAGAAGTCTGTATATATTATGTCAACTTAGTTACGTTGATTGCTTCGGAAATATATTGGGTTATGCAAAATAATGTTGCAAATTCATAAAACCATGTTGGATAACCGATATCTGATTGCTGACACTAGAATAAATTGAATCATGAAGTAAGATTTCAAGAACATTACAAAAATTACATAAAATAGATATAGGTCTAAAATTGGTAATGTCATGTTTATCGCCTTTTTTAAAATCTGGGCGTATTTTTGAACATTTCGAGATATCAGGGAGACAAAAATTTTAATGCATAAGTTAAATAATACCGTGAGCGGATTTACAAACATACGAGCATAATCTTTAACCAAGAACGATGAAACACCATCAGGTCCAGTCGTCATCTTAGATTTAAGTTTTTTTAAAGCATTAAATACATCGTTTTAATTAATTACCAAATTAGTTGCCTCGATAGGACTAGATTAAAAGTTATCCGAAAGTGGTAGAAAAGAATTACTGAAAAAATCAGCGAGGGCTTCAATAATATCATTAGATTTATTAAGGTGATGCTCATGATAAGACATTTGAGTGGAGATATTTGTACACTTCTTTTTTACTGTTAATAAATGATCAAAATTTGCTCGGCTCCTTTGCAATATTGTCTTCAGCCTGCTATACGTAACTCGCGTAGGCAACATATCCGAATTGTACTCCTTAAACGTTTAAATTCGTTATGAACGAGATAGTCATCATTTTGTTTATACATGCTCCAATATTTCGCTTTAAGCTTAATATTTTTTATAATGTTGCCATTATGTGTTGCCATAGTGGATATATGTTCTTTTATGAAATGACTTAAATTTTGGTACACATATATCAAATATTTCCTAAAGTCTAAAGTTATAGCAATTATTTGCATTTACTGGGAAGTTATTTTTATTGTTAGAATAATGGACATTGTCTAATAAGGTATTTAGAGCAGGGCGATAATTGTCCTCCCGTGTTAGAATATCATCCAATTTCTCCACAATGCATTTATTGCTACATATTATTAAATCGAGAAGTTTGTTATCTATATTATATACGAAATTTTGCTGTTGAAGGTTTAACATGTCTAGAAAATTATATACAGCTAATATCTTATCATGGGGTTGAAAGTCATCCATTGGATAAGACGCATAATTAGAAATATTAGAATCGCCTAAAAGTAATACATCATCAAGCCAAATTTATTGGTGGATGTTAAATGGACATTTCATCTTTTAAGAGGCAATCCTTAAAGTTTGGCAAAATCGCTTTACACTCTGGAGACAATTATTGATGAAATTGGAGTAAACGCTTAACAAGAGCACGTTTAGAACGGTAACCTCCACGGTACAATTATTTTATTATAATTCAACGCGTGAATGCGTAAAACTAGGAAACAGTATTGGAACGATCCCAAAAAAATACCGATCATTGTCCTTAAGAATTTAAATTATTAACGAGGTGCCATAAAACTGATAATAACAAGAATATAAAACATTTCAATGGAAAATAATAGTAATCCAAACAAGTTTTGACAGTATACCAGCCTTAAGAAATAGGATACAGGCATCCTTCCTAAAACTTTTTAAAAGTATTGTCTCTAAGGACTGTCCAGTGTTTACCTCAATGAAATAGTAAAAACTCTTTTGCGAGTTTTTATATTCATTAAAAAATATTAAAATTAGGCATACCATGGGATTCCTGATAAAATTGCTAT